CGCTGAAACACGCTGTGACATCGAGCATGCCCACTGCACCGTCAAGGCGTCAAAGGGGCTCCTTGCAGCGCTCCTCCGAGAACTGGTCAGCAGGACGGCGAACTAAGCGTCCAAACTCCATCTAACACAAAGCCAGCTTTTCTATAAAATTTAGAATCGACCACTTTCGTGCAAACGAGTTCACTAAGGCTTGCGTCCGCCATGCACGTCTGCTACTTTGCTAGGCATATGCAGCTGGCTGTTTGATTCGAGCATGAAAGTTGGATTTCTCCAACATGGTGACGTTAATTTGTGGAAAGCTCTGCGCGACTTTATTTCGATTTTTCGTTGTCACTCCACAGAAACATATTAATGTCGTCGTCGTCCACATGCACAGGCCACGCCACAGGTACGGTGCAACTTTATTTCGACTTTTGGCTGGCCGTCGCCACTCGCCACACGGAAACATATGCATTAAAATGTCAGGAAGATTCGTCTTGTCAGGGACGCATTGCATAGACGTAATCCTGTGAACGTCCGCACTAAATTCGGTGCAACTTGTTCAGCAAAATCGATTGCTGCACTGAGCAAATGGCTGGCCGTCGCCACTCGCTAATTGTACAAGTCAATCACACGGTACATCGAAACTAAACGCCTCAGTACAACTTCTCGTCCAGGAGAGACCTAAAAAGGCACGGATAGTAAACTAAACATGCGAAACCGGACTTGCCGGTTCTAGGATGATTTTTCTAAATTTTGCTTAGACTCAATAACTATCATCAGATGCTGAAGAACAAGGTTTATAGTAACAAAGAATGTCTAATATACATGATAGCAAAGTTAGAGAAAGAGGATTGCCCTAGGATGTCACCTCTGGTCATCAGATCAAAAGATAAACAACAATTAATAATGGTTAGAAAAGAAGAGCAAAGGAGAAGATATGATAAAAATTAAATTGTAGAATGATTTATGCGATTATATTCAATTCCAATCGGTAGTGTCCCTTTCTATATCGAAGGTAGGGTGGAACTTATCCTACGAGGGGCCAAAAACCCTTACAAATCTTGTCAAAATACAACTCTCTAAACTTGTTGGCTGGTTTTGGAAGCTGGCTTTCACAGGGATAATCTTCCCGGGGTTGTAACTTTCTTATATAGACTCCAAATTTGGCGATCTATAGTATTTCTCGTAGTGAATCTTAAAGCATACTAAATCTAATGTTGTTGTTAACCTATATATTTTTTTAAAAACCTAATGTTCAAAGTTAGTAACATTTGACTTAGGACAAATTTAATACGACATGAAAACACCGGAGGGAATACTGTGATCCTTTTCAGTGAGACAACACCATCCTGTTCGTAGCATAGAAAGAATAATAAGGTGTGACAATGAACTGCACGCTTATATATCGTCTAATTTCTCAAACTAAAGCAAACACGCATACAAGTGGACGGAGGATGAGATGCCCCAGCAAGTGGACCATTTTTGCGGTCCTGTCGTCGATGGAGCCAAGAAATTAATAAAACCATGGGCGGCCTAGCTTAGCTAGCTATGAGCTGAATGTGACTCTGTGAGCATGTGACGTGCCGGCCACACTTGGAAAGTTGGAATCTAACCTATCGGCCGCGCGCTCACCGTACGGAGCGTCTCAAAAGCTACTCCGCAGCGCACTGCCGCCAAGACCAAGAGGGGGCGCGCAGTGAGATGCATGCACCGTGCCCGTACGTGCTCCCCCGCGCGGTGCAATGCTCATTGGCCGGCTTGCTGCAAGCATTTAGGCCCCGTTTAGTTTCCTAAAAACTAAAAATTTTTGCACAGTAAGTGTCACATCGAATTTTACGGTACATGTACAGAGTACTAAATATAGGCGAAAAAAAACTAATTGAATAGTTGGGTGAGAAATCACGAGACAAAACTTTCGAAATAATTAGTCCATAATTAGACAATAATTATTAAATACAAACGAAAGTGCTATCCCTAAACCTAAAAAAATTCGGATCTAAACGCGCCCTTAGGTTTAGGTGTGGCCGACAGCCCTGATCTGTACGTTCCGCTAGCCATTTGACATCTGTGCGGCTGGGGATGGCTGTCGTTGAGATCGAGGACGGACGTCGAGAGAAACGCCGCCACCACGTCCGTCCATTTGGTTTCTCTCGGTCGCCTACTATACAGTCACAGGTTCTCCCCAGGTTCTTGCAATCCTCTTTCCGGTTACACATCATGTCCAGGCCGTTCCTTTCGTCTTATTCGCTCGTATTTGATTTATAATCTACGATTTAAATAATATTTTTCTCTTATATTAAATTAAACAGTAGTACTTTCAGCCATGGCTTATAAATCAATTCAGCCAAAACGAACAGGCTGACATCGTTTGATGGGGTACGGTGCGTATTTAATGCCCTACTATTATTATTATATTATCCTATACCAGTAACATTTACTAGTACAAGAGCAAAAGCAAGTGGACTGGGGTATTTGTCCTACGTGTACTCTGGCAACTGTGTGGCGACCACAACCCCGGCCCCTGCCCACATATGCCGTAGTACTGGCCTACTGGGAATAATATTCTTGTCTCCAGCTCCAAGAATATGTAGTTTCTCAAAAAAGTTTACTTTGTTTCAAGTGACGTCCGATTGCATGTAAACTCATTTCTTAGGGCATTTAGCCATGGCTCCAGCTCCAAGAATTTCTGTAGTTGATCATCGCTAGCTCATCATGGAGCTGGAGTAGTCGTGGGTACACTAAAAGTGCTTAGCTAAGAAATTTTGATATTATTTCGATCGAACACATATGTTTAAGCCACTTTATTTTATCATACAAACTCCAAATTTTGTAAGCCCTTAATATCAAATTGAAAGACTGATAGGGAGCTGCATCAAGGGTCCAACCCGTATGAGTAATAAGGTAGAAAGTTCCACCAGTAAACTTAATGTCTCCAAGGCTCTTAGACACACCAACATCCCTAACTTCATAATGCGTCCTTAGCTAGCTTGATAGTGAAAAATGTAAGGAAATTAAAATTTTGAAACAAGCAACAATATCTCTGCATCCTGAAAAGGATTTTGAGGTTCCTATGTCAACGTATCCTAAATCTGGCCAAGTTTATATAGATGAGTAATAACATCGTCTACCACATTCGAAAGGTAAATTGTGAAGATATATTTCATAGTGTATCTAGTGATGCTAATTTGACATCGTAAATATTATAATGTCTATTAAACATAGATAGGATAGGATAGGATAGGATAGGATGATTGACTTAGGATAATATTAGAATCTCTTATATTTAGGGCAAGGGAGTAGAAGAATATACAACAAAAAAATTGTATCAAAATAATATTTTTTTATGTATGAATTGTATTTTATGAGTAAATTTTTGTGTTGTACGTATTTTTTCTATCTAAGCAAGGAAGAAAACTATCTCTGACGTAAGATATAAGGAACTCTAAATCAAGCTTTTCTAAGTTTAACCAAATTTATAAAAAAACAATAATATCAACAATATCAATGATCATCATTTCTCTTCACGTATAGCCTCTTTACCATCTCATCTACACATCCCATTTTTGTCTAGATAACGGATCCTATTACTTTGAATTCACCTCTCCAAACCATGTATTATATATTTGCCACTCTAAACCACATTAAACGAAAAGGTTGTCAACTATAAAATCATAGATCTCTTCGAGCGCTATGAACTTTGTTATAAATCGTGTATCCATTTGAAGTTGTTAAAAATTGTAAAGATTGATATTCAAATATGATTAATATAAGAAAAACTTGGGGTAAAAAATGATCTTAAATGAAAAGTTGTCAGTTATAAAGCTTTAAATCACGTGGTGCCCTACAATAATTTTGATATAAAATTTATCTTCATACAACTTCATATGAAAAATATTAATCTTTATATGTGTGGCAACTATTTCTAGAAATGGCCACTTAATAAGAGGACCATTTTTGAAAACTGGTCTCTAGAACAGCTTTTCTAGATATAGTTTGTTTTAGATGGATTGTCTCTGGAAATTTGATTTCTAGGGTTAGGACGAGATAGTGGTGCCACTGGTATATAGCACAAGCGGAGGCCCTTATAGGCTATATCTAAAATAAAATATTGTGTCTCTAAAAAATAGTTTTTATAATAATGAATGTTAATATTTTTCTTTATAAATTTAATCAAATTTATAATAGTTTCACTTCAAACAAACTTAAAATGTATAAAAATAACAAGGACTAAGGGAGCATGAAAGATCCAGAATCTAAAATTGCAGCGCTTACCTATTGTGGTATCGGAGGCATCGAGATACCTGCTCCATCCACAAAAAATGCAACTATATATAGGATTTGTGTAGATCAAACTAGCTTAGATTTGACTAAATTTATAGTGAGAATACTATTATCATTAATGTCTTCAGCTAGGTTTAAAAATAAATATATTTCGACCCATGCAGATGACTAAACAAACTCATGATAACACATTAGGTAGTCTCAGTAAGAGTTTCCTAAGAGTTTTATGGCCATTAAATAAACTGACATGATATACAGTATAGATGAAGAGAGAGATGCTAAGACAAAATTATGATATTTGTCTACACTATTTTTAACATATGAGAGTCTGGAAAGCTAGAACATAAAACTCACATCGAAACTGGCCTTACTACACAGGGTACAGAGGCGGAAGTGATGGCTTTAATTAGCATAAAATAACAATCCATACGGCAAGTAAAATGCAATCACAGGCCCCAACAAAAATAAACGCAATCAAACAAAAAAAAACAGTTATAAAATAGAAACACCAAGCTCCTCATCAATATATACATGCACACACACAACAACCAACGACGTCATACATACAGAAGAGCTAGCTAGCTACCAAAATAGTAGTACCAGCATCATCAGAGTATGACCTTCTCGTGGAACTCCGCTGCAACGTTAAGTTGAACGTGACGACGACGACGGATTCCAGCACCGAGGTGGAGTTCGCAGTCTCAAACTCGTGCTAAGGATCAGGTGCCGACGAGCTGATGGCGGCGCTGCACCTGATGCTGTCGCGCCAGTCGTCGAGGTTCAAGGGCGTCGTGCCACAGCCGAACGGGCGCTGGGGAGTGCAGATCTACGACCGTCACGCGCGCGTGTGGCTCGGCACGTTTCCGGACGAGGAGATCGCCGCGCGCGCCTACGACGTGGCTGCCGTCCGCTTCCGCGGTCGCGGGGCCATCACCAACTTCCCGGAGGAGCGGGCGTCCCCGGGTGAGCTCGCCTTCCTGTCGGCGCACTCCAAGTCGGAGATTGTGGACATGCTCCGGAAGCACACCTACGCCGCCGAGCTGCGCCAGGGCCTGCGCCGCGGCCGTGGCATGGGCGCGCGCGCGCAGCCGACGCCGTCGTGGGCTCGGAAGCTGCTCTTCGAGAAGGTCGTGACGCCGAGTGACGTTGGCAAGCTCAACCGTCTCGTCGTGCCCAAGCAGCAAGCGGAGAAGCACTTCCCGCTGAAGCACGGACCAGAGACGATCACCGGCAAGGGTGTGCTCCTCAACTTCGAGGACGGCGAGGGCAAGGTGTGGCGGTTCCGGTATTCGTACTGGAACAGCAGCCAGAGCTACGTGCTTACCAAGGGCTGGAGCCGCTTCGTGCGGGCGAAGGGCCTCCGAGCCGGCGACACTGTTGCTTTCTCCAAATCAGTGTGTGGGCAGGACAATCAGCTACTCATCGGCTGTAGGAAGACGCCAAAGAAGCAAGACGAAGGCACGGCCGAAGCGATTGCAGATGCCGTGGAGGTCCGTGCCATCAAGCTGTTCGGCGTTGACATCGCCGGTGGAGGGCATGGCGAGAGTTCTTCATATAACACATGCAAATGATTAGCCTGCTTCTCTATCTGCCCTAGCTAGCTAGCTATGTGTGCTAGTATTAGATATGGTATCTTCAACTTTTCCAGTTTCATATCCTCCATCTATTTGGATGCTAACTTCAGTTCTCTAGGTATCATCAACATTAGGGGAGTTATAGTATATTCTTATCAGTTGTGTGCAATTAATATTTTGGCATCTTGATGCTATCCTGTTAACATCAATACCATCTTTCTGGCTGGACAATTAGCGTGCTTGTTATCATCAAAACTAGATTGTCAAGGTTGGTTCTGTCGCAAAGGACTGCTTGATGTTCTTAGTATATGTATAGTTCCTATACCTCTTAATGATTGTTCTAAGCTCGATCTAACACTTAGGAAACACTACGCCACATTGCATTTGTAAGGGCGGCTCTAGATGATTTGTAGCATCGATTTTGGCAGCCGCCCCTATCAAACCGGGACTACTAGGGGCGGCTCAAATCAATTTCCAGAAATCACGAAAAAGGGGCAAAAAAAATAGCAAATTTTTTTTAATCCGAGGAGGTCTCCACCGGTAGCCACACAGCCACTCTATGGTTGCAGCATTTTTTCACGATTTTTGCACACTTTGCGTCGGCCGGAATTTGAAACCGCAACTTCTCCCTCGTGTGCAAACTCCTCTACCACTGCACCTCACGATCACTTGTGTCTACCATCCATTTTGGTTCCCCACATATTATACAAAACTGAGCATAAATTGATTGTTTGATGCCCTAAACTATTTCAAATGAAAAAGTTGTCAACTATAAAGTTTTATAACTTTTCGAGATCTACAACTTTTATTTTGGTAGTTTCTCCATCCGAGGTCACTTATAAAATTTGAATTTTAAATTTGAGAAATTCGAACGTAGTTTTCCATGACAAGATGATTTCAAATGAGAAAGTTATCAACTACAAAGTTTTATAATTTTTCAAGATCTACAACTTTCATTTTTACTCTTTGTCCATCCAAGGTCGTTTAAAAAATTAAAATTTCAAATTTTTGAAAATTTAAACATAGTTTTCCTTGACAAGATGATTTTAAATCAAAAAGTTGTCAACTACAAAGTTTGATAACTTTTTGAGATCTACAACTTTTATTTTGGTTGTTTCTCCATCCGAGGTCGTTTACAAAATTTAAATTTTAGTGCTTAATTTTTAATACTCGGCGTCTATTTGCAGGGGCAGTTCAATATTGAGGCACCCCTACAAATCCGATTTGTAGGGGCAGCTGGATATAGAGCCGCCCCTACAAATCATTCCATTTATAGGGGCGGCTTATAACACCGGCCGCCCCTACAAATTCATTTGTAAGGGCGGCTCATTTGGCAACTATTTGTAGGGGTGGCTCAATATAGAGCCGCTCCTACAAAGAAAGGGAGGCGTTGCCACAAATCATTTCTGTAGTAGTGAAAGCAACAACAGATGAAGTGGATGTACTCCCTCCGTCCCAAACCATCATAGCCTATTTTAGCCTTTTTCTTAAATCAAACTTCTTCTCTAACTTTGACTAGGTTTAAAAAAAATACACCAACATCTACAAAAGGTTGCTGAGGAAAAGTAGGATGGTGAGAAGCAAGGTGCTATGGTTCAAGAAGAGGTTAGTTATTCCCAAACTGAACCCACGAAGAAAATATTGGATGAGGCATATTTTTTCTCGAATACGCAAAAGATTTGCATATCTTTATATTAAGAAGAAGAGTTTGAACTTACAAACGACGCGCTTCTATCGAGCGCCAAAGGAGATCAACCTAAAACAGCCGTAGCTGGACTATCCTAACAAAATAACTCACGTTTTGATATTACATAAATGAAAAACAACCAATACCGACATAGCGGTGCAACCTAGGAGGTGGCCTTGCGTCTTCGTGGCTACCTGGACGAACCGTCTGTGATGAGCATGTCCAGTGCCTTGGTGTTGGACGCAGTCATGTTGTCGTTGAAGATCCTATCATAGGCCTCCGGTTCTGACGCGGATGGCGCTGATGGACCCTTGGTGTAGCCCATACGCTGCATGATTAAGACCTCACCTTGCTTGGAAGCAGGTAGTGGAGAGAGGGGCTGAGCAGCCAGCCGCCTACTCCGCAGGGGCAACACCGGCTTAGTAGGGGTCTGCTTGGGAAGCTCATGAATAAGCGGAGAGTCAACCTTCTTCAGTACTCGCCTGGTGAAGCTCTTGAGTCGGCATGCGGCAGAGCTATCGCTGATGTCGACTGTGTGGTCGTCCCAAGGCGGCATCCTGAACATGTTAGCATCCACCGGCTCGGCCGGACTAAAGCCCGGCGGACCATCCTCCGTAGGCGCGTCGGCTCCTGAGGTAGTGGTCTGCGCTGCCAGAGGTGGCATGACCACGAGCGATGCTGCAATCTCCTCCATCATCGGGTCCTCTGAGACCTCGCGTGCGGTGTGCATGGCGTCCGTCGTCCAACAAACCGCAAGCGATACTGCATTCTCCTCCATCATTGGGTCCTCTGAGACCTCGCGTGCGGTGTGCATGGCGTCCGAGTACTATGTGAGCAATGAATCAAGCTCAGAAAGGTCCCTTACCACACTTGTGGGCTCATCGCGACCTTCTCGGGCAGCACTATCAATGGTGGCAATGTTGTTCGGTGCTGCAGCATTGCCATCATCCCTTGGCCGCACCCAATCCCTTGGCCTCCCTCTGTGCCCAAGCCTACTGTACGAGTGCATGGCTGGTCCCAGTGACCTCAGGAAGGACATCGACGGTGTGCACCCAAGTTGCCGGGTACGCTGTTCCTTGCTGAACTCGGCCTCTGTAGCCGCTTACAGTCACGCGCGCCATGGCGGAGGCCCCTGCAACGTAGGCAGCATCGGGGCAGCCTATAGGTCGCCACCCTGTGCGAGTGGAGAGACAGTTAAGGCATTTTTCTTGCAGCTCTGCTGGGAAATGGGGCACTGGACGTGGCGGTGGAGCCTCCGCTCAGCCTCAGACGACCCTCGCGAAAGGACCTTGCACCAGCCATTGGCGTCTGGAGCGGAGAAGCGTTGCTAGACGCCGAAAGTAGGCTGAGGTCTTGGCCTCCGATGGACTGGTCGATTGTTGATGGTAGTTAACAACCATTATAAACCGTCAATATAACATGTATAAGGGCATAAATATAATCACCAATGAAGGTTTAGGGGTTTAAACTAACAAATTCCATGAGTTTTGGTGAATCTGTATTTTCTGCAGGGTTTATCCAGAAAACCGTCAAGGCAGACCTACATGTTAGATTTAATCGTGTTTATCCACAGCGAAACGGACACCAGAAGACTCTAGAAGACTCGGGTGGACTCCACACCAAAGCAGAGGGCGAGACACCACCAGGTGGGGTAGGCCATCTCCACCTGTAAGCCGCCCGGCCCCTTGGGCCCACCTGTCAGCCCCTTGTTGTTATGTCGGTTCTCCACCGCCTCCTAGGTTTCATCTACGCCGGCCTTTAAGTCGGTTTGATCCAACGGTTCACGTTGGACGCTCTGGCCTATATATATCAGCCCCTGCCCCCTAAGAAGGCATAAGTCATTTGAGAAGACAGAAACCCTAATCATCCTCAGAGCTTCACCATATTCTAGAGCATAGCTAGTTAGGCTAGGTCTAGAGGAAGGCAAGCAGGCTTCGCTTGGATTCGGATCTTGTCAAGAGCGTGGTTTGGTATAATCTTTGTACCCCTCTCTTTTTTGTATCTCCATTACTTTTATATGCTAGTTACAATAGTTATGACAATATTAGTATTCGTCTTATTCATGTTCTTTGTTATAATGTTCATGGTCTACTTTGATTATATGATTAGTATAGTTGGATTATCATTATGTTCATGCATAAGTTCGTATAGCGCACACTCTAAGTCTCCAAGGGTGGGTGGTCAACATTGTGTAAGGGTGGTGCTTATACGTTGTTTACCTATGGATACACCATATATTCTGGGTTATGTGGTAGATCGCGGATGTGACACTTCCGTTGAGTCCTTTGTAGTCCACTCCCCGAATATAGGCGCACGTAGGGTTCGGTTACGAAGGAAGAGCAAGCTCTGTTCTTAAGCTTCCTTAGTAATATCCCTTATGTGTAGATATGATGATGATCTTAGCAATGATTACTAGGTATAATTGCACTAATTAATGTATGTTTTGACTTATAATTAAGAATGATTTAGAAATTATTCCTCTAATATTCTACCAGACCATGCTAATGCGATAGAAAGGAGTACTCTGAGTGATTTATCATTATCATTGATCAATACTTATCATATATATATATATTATCCTATGACTTACCCTTGTTATGAGTAGAATATTGGTTATAGTTTACTTCTCCTTTAAAAGTGTCGGTACAGAAAGTGACCAACTAGTGAATATTTGTAGTTTTACTATACGTTGTGATCGGAGGTGGCCTAGCACTCAATGACACAGGATTTATGCTGGTTCAGGCAACGTGCCCTACGTCCAGTGTGGGTCGGTCGGTGACTTTATTCCTGAGCCTAGGTGCTCGAAGTCTGTTGTGGGGTTACAAACGAGAAGGAGAAAGGAGGGGTATACAAGAGGCCCGGTCGGGTCCGACCGGAAGGGCCGAGGGCGACCGGAACTCCGCTATGAGCTAGGTGTTCAAGCGTGTGCTTAAAGGGTTTGTGAGCTATCGATCTAGTAAGTCTGAACTTGAAGAAGTGGACCTCCTCTTTTGGAGGGAGCGCATCCCTTTTTTATAGATAAAGGGGATGGCTTTACAAGTGAGAGGGAGAGAGTACGGATGTTTCTAAGTCTTGTTGCCCACGCCGACGAGGGTAGCGATGATGGTAGGTACCCACAATACTGTTGATGTCACTGTAGAATGTCAGGTGCATATGGGAGGTTGCGTTGGCTTCTTCAGGAAGGGTGGATGTCGATACCTGCAAAACACTATTGGCATATGAGGAGCCCTACCCTGTGTACCAGGTATGGTGAACCCTGGCAGCTAGTATCGATGCCCAGAGGTATGTGGGGGACTTTTTGCCGTATGGG